CACACACACACACACACACACACACACACACACACACACACTAACTCACACAGAAGTAATTGACCCCTATGAACAACGTCAGAAGGTCTTGTCCCTTCACAAGCATTTTGTCTGTGTTGGGATTTGGGGAGGGTTTTTTTCTTGGTGGGGGAGTGGTTGGAGACAGGGTTTCTCTGTGTAACAGAGCCCTGGCTATCCTAAAAATCCCTTTGTAGACCAGGCTGGCCTCTAACTCACTGAGGTCCTCCTGCCTCTGCTTCCCAAGTGCTAGGATTAAAGGTGTGCACCACTGTGACCAGCAGGATTCAGGGAGATTTTAAAAGTCCTACGTCCCCCACACCAGTGAGCAGTGAGTCACACCTACGAGTTGGGGTACTTCCTAGCTTTCTTAGTAAGTTTTACAGTAGCAACACTCGAGTGAAACAGTGACCCAAAGCTTCTGGGATGGGAAAGCTTGTCTGATGCAAGGTGGTCAGAGCCATCTATCTCTCTGCTAACTGTCATGGTCCCCATTTCAAGCTGACTACAGGATCTCCCTAGGAGTATCCCTGTGTCAAAAGTGGGCTGGAGCATTGAACACGGCCTCAAGATGCCTCCCTGGCCAGGCACAGGCAGAGTGCCTTCCGTTACCAGTGTTGGCCGACCTCCCCACGCCCAGCTCCCAGCTCCTGCCACCTTTTGCTGCCTAGCTCAAAGGCTGTGGTGAGGAATAATAAACTCGGGATTCATACGCTCCTCCAGAAGTTCACCATTCCTCAGGAAACCTGCTGTAATGAATGCCAAGGAAGCCATGACTCTAAAACACTGTAGCACAAGAAAAGATGACACTATCTAAAAAAGCAAAGTGGGGGTTGGAGAAATAGCCCCGGGGTTAAGAGCCCTTGCTGCCCCTGTGGAGGACCTGAGTTCGGTTTCCAGCTCCCTCTTCAGGAGGCTCCCAACCATCGGTAACTCTAGCTCCCTCTTCTGGCACCCATGTGTGACTACACTCATTTTTGTGACTACATACACATTTTTGGCTTGGTTTGGTTTGGTTGGTTTGGTTTTCAAGACAAGGTCTCTCTGTGTAGCCCTGGCTATCCTGGAACTCACTCAGTAGACCAGGCTGGCCTCGAACTCAGAGATCCTCCTGCCTCTGCCTCCTGAGTGCTGGGATTAAAGGTGTGTGCCACCACTGCCCAGCCACATTAATTTTTTAAATGGAAATTCTTCTTTTTAAAGACCAAAAGAAGGTTTTGGAAACCAGGAATTCAGGGGGAAAGGGAATTTGGAAGAAAGTCTATGTCTTTGGTGCCATCTGTGAAACTCATGGAGTTTCCACATCTTTGGGCAGGAACAACACCTTACATAGATGAAATCTGCTCCTCACGCTTGTCTTCTCGGCTAACTCAAATCCCTCTGTCTGGCAGGGGAAGAATAATTCAGCAAACTATGTTGGCTTAAGATGGAGTGTTTTTAATTAAAAAAAAAAACAGCTTCCTATTTCCTGCTTCTTCTGCTCAACAAGCAAGCTAAAGATCTACAGTAGTAAGGGAAGTCACGGGCCCTCCCTGCTGGAAAAAGGCACACACCCACTTACTGTCCAAGTGGCTACCTTGGCCCCTCCATTCCACAAGACCTGGACTCCCTGGTTTTCTGTTTGTTTGTGTGTTTGTTTGTTTGTTTGTTTGTTTGTTTGTTTGTTTGTTTTTTCGAGACAGGGTTTCTCTGTGTAGCTTTGGTGCCTATCCTGGAACTCACTCTGTAGCCCAGGCTGGCCTCGATCTCACAGAGATCTGCCTGCCTCTGCCTCCCTAGTGCTGGGATTAAAGGTGTGCGCCACCACCCAGCCCTGGACTCCCTGTTAAGCTGAACCTTAGACATGTCTTCTGAAAGGACGTATTGAGAGTAGAACATCCAGTTAAAAAGCACGGGTCCTCGCTAGCTCACCCTCAAAGTGGCTTCCTCCTTATTCCAAACCAAATTGGAAAAACAAAGTTCTGGAAGCTTAAAGTTAAGTTCCCAGGTAGCTCTGCTGGCAGAGCACTTGCCTGACATACATGAAGCCCTGGGCTCAACACCGCACAGGACCAGATAATGGCGGAGCACGCCTGTGATCCCAGCCCTCAGGAGGTGGGGTAGGAGTTCAGGGGCACCCTCTGCTAATATGAACTACCTGAGACTGGGAAGGAAGGAGGAAACGGGGTGCAGGGAGGAAAGGCAGGATCCCAGCCCTCCTTTCTCCTTGCTATCCTTGCCATGTTGGACAGTTGATGGTTCGAAATCCTCCAGCTCCTTCAGCCCAGTTTATAGTTGAGGCTAGGGATCCCTCCCACCTCTCTCTAGGTTATGAAGGAGAATCAGATAATGAAGACCTGGGACCTAGGAGACCGGGGACAAGGCTCCGCTGGGCCAAGACAAGGCTTCTCCAGCTCCTTTTGCAGCACCCTGGCTTGAGCCTGGACTCACCCTGAACGGGTTTTCGGGAAACTGTGGCTGTCCTCTAGCCTCTGCGCCCTCAAGAGAACCTTGTTTCCACTGTTCCTCTTCCGCCTTAAGAGCAATTACAGAGTAAGAGCCATTATTTAATTTAAACCTGCCTCAGAGTGCTCACAGTTTCCACCTTAAGTGCCCCAGCCAATAAGCAGTACCATATATCTACTAATATCTGAGCAAGAAAAAAAAATGGATGTGGACAGGTGCTGGAGGCAAGCAGAATCAGGCCGAAGACCAGCCTCGGTATTTATTTATTAACCAAAGCCCGGGCAGCTCAAACCTCTGACTCCCTTTACTTCCCAGCTGTTTGGAGTTCCAGTCAACAACACGTTCAAATCTCTGCTTTGTCTTTGTTGTTCAGACAGGGTCTCAGGTAGCCGAGACTGGCCTTGAAGTTGCTATGTAACTGAGGATGACCTTGAATTAATCCTCCTGCCTCCACCTCCTGAGTGTGGGCATGGCAGGTGTGAGCACGCCAGCTGTGGCTCCTCCTTTTGCACTATTCTCTGCCTGATCAGATCTTGAATATAGACGTGAGTTGACTGTGTATGCCCCCTAACTAGCTCCCGTAGCTCGGATCTGGAATGTTCTCCAGAAGCCTGTGTTTTAAAGACTTAGTTCCCTTAAGTCACACTGTTGGGAGATCGCGGAGGTGGAGAGACGGCTCAGCAGTTCAAACTGCTGTTGCCCTTGCAGAGGACTGGATTTCTATCCTCAGGACCCACGTGGTGGTTCCCACCCATCCATAACTGCAGTCCCAGTGGATCCAGCGCCCCCCTCTAACGCCTGCTGGCACCGGGCGCATAAGCAGGTAGACATCCACGCAAACACGCAGGCAAAACACACATATAAAATAAAGACCGTCTTAAAAAAACAATTGTAAGAGGCCACTGGGGGATCACCGTTTCTTGACCAAGAGAGGAGATGCTTTGATCTGACATGTGCCGTCACCACAAGATACGCCACCAAGAGGTCCAAAGTAACAGGGGCATGAACAGAAACTCTAAAGCTATGAGCCAAGCCTGGAACGACAGAGGCTGATGACGATCCCAGCACTTGGGGAGTTGAGACAAGAAGATGGAGAATTCCAGGCTAGCCTGGGCTACATATGGGAGTAGCAGTTTTTGAGAAGGGAGGCGGGGAGACTATAAAGCCACAGGCTATGAGGTTATAAGCCCACCCAGGACTCAACTGTATCTCCTTTCCACCTTGGTCACGCCCAAGTCACTTTTCTCTGGAACCTTCTCCAGCTCTCTAGCACAGGCCGCTCTTGAAATGGAAGGAAGCTGGCAGCCGGGTTTGCCGTTTCCAGCACTCATGGGCTCCCCTGAGCGCGTGGTGATTTTAAACATGAAAAGCAACCGGAGACAGACAAAGCGTCTTGTTAGAAAGGCTGTCTTTCAAAGCCAACATACCTCTTGAGCCTTTGATCGTCATGAGGCAGAGCAGGGGCCTCGTGGTGTTCCTGGGTTTGGATGCCAACTCTCCCTACCCCCACCACCCCGCCCGCCGTCCCTCCCTCCCGACTCAGGGCTCCAGAGAGTCCTCGTCCCGCCCAGCCCCAGAGTCTCCTTTCCACCTCCCGGCCCTACACCCACTGCCCTGGGGGAGCCCTTGATCTACCCTTGGAGGACTCCATGGAGGATATGGCCCCGATCAACGCTCCAACCGGCAGCCGAACTACCGAATGCCAGGATGCGAAGCGAAAGCATGGGCGCATGCCACTGCCTGCAGGCTCGGTCCAGGGTTGCCAGGACAACCCGCCCCAACCCGCTAGTCTTGGTGCCTCTCTCCCTGCACCCCGCGCCCTGGCCTGGCTTGAAGATGGGGGTCTCAGGCCTAAGGGCTGCAGAACCTCGGGATTTTGTTTCAACTTGTGGGTCTTTTCCAAGTAACCGTCTCCGCTACTCCTGTAACCTCTAGTGGCCATGAGCGACGCATCCTTCGCAAAGCTTGCAGATGCGGGTTTAGAATCGGCCCTGATTAGGCAGGGCTCACCCACCATTCACAGCGCCTTTTTCTGGGCCAGGCTCCCCTGCTGGATCCTTCAGCAGCCAGCTGCGCTTTTCAAAATAGAAAACTGACTTTGAGCAAAGGCTCATTCAAGGTCACCCAGAAAACGGAGTCACCCTCACAAACCCATCATTCTTTCCATGGTATAGATTGAAATTTATCTTTCTAACCCTTTCCCCTAGTATATCTTACATAGAAAGTTGTTGGGTTTGGGAATTTTTTTTTCTCCAACTCAAGCTAAGTCTCTAAATTTATATTGAGACCTACTTTCTCCTATGGTTAAGCGGGAAAAAATACGAATGTTTTAATTAATTTAAATACTCATTTGTGCGTGTGCTGCATGCATGTGTGTGTGCACGTGTGTGTGCGGCACACTAGCCCATGCACGTGCATGCAGCGGCCAGAGGTCATGTGTCATCCTCCATTGCTCTCCACCTTATTTTTTGAAACAGGGCTCCTCACTGACCCTGGAGCTCACCCACGGTGACAGCCAGGCAGTCCCGGAGTCCCAGGGGATCTACCTATCTCTGCCCCTCCTAAGCAGGGCACATGGCCCTTAGTGGGCTGTGGATCTGAACCCAGGGCCTCACCTTCGTGGAGCAAGCACTGAGCCATCTCCACAGGGTGGTTTATTTTTAATATTTTCATTGACTGTAAAAAGCAACGACAGACTGGAACTCTTGAAACTGTGCGTAGGTGGGGGAGGTGCTCTCCAGGCCACACCCCTCGCTGAGGAGCCGTCGAGTGGCGGCTGGGGTTATAAAAAAAGACGGAATGGCCACCTGTGAGGTCAAACACGGTTGAATAGTGTGAGTTTCACAGGACTGGATTTTAATAAATGTTAACATGTAATAAAATTTTAGAATTCCTAGCAGGGTCCACAAGGTCCCAGACAAGAGACAGATTAGAAGGTCCCAGCTCTCCCCGGAGCGGAAGCGGAGCATTACTAAGGTACTGTTCGTTACAGCTGAAGTACTTTTCACATTAATGGTAAGTCTTTACTGTAAGCATCCCTTCTGGGGGCCAGAGTAGCCCGATTCTTGTTTTATTTTATTGAGACGGTCTCACTAGGTCGCCCCAGCTAGGCTGGACCTCTCCGTGTAGAGCACTGTGTCCTGAATGCTGGGATCAGGTGGTCTGACTCTCTCTCCACTGACTGTGTTAGCTCTCTCCCAGGAGCCCTGACTGCTGGGCAGGACTGTCATCCACAGTCAGGCGGGCCACCCCGGTGGTGGCAGCGGCCACTCTGACACTCCAGGGACTTGAGGAAGTTGCACAGCTACCCACAACCACAGGCGCTGGCTGCTGAAGCTCTCTGGCTGTCGGAGGCGCTGCCCCGCCCATGACTGCTCCCAACAGCTTGCCCTGAACTCTCTGTCATCAAACGCTCTGGTAAACTCGGAAGGATCTTGCCTTTCCCACCCAGACCAGAAGAGGGACGCTTTCCCGGAGGCCCAGCCGAGAACCTGTAACTGGTGCAAGTGAAGGGACCAAGCAGATGCCATAACAGACTGCTCAGTCCTTTCTCGGAGATCAGGCCTCAATTTCAGTTTCCGGAGACTTGAGCAAGCAGTTTCTGGGAGGGCTATGAACAAAAGACATAGTCCTTGCAGTAGCTCCCTTTCTGCACATACTCTGACTGCTCACGGTTCAGCCAATTGTTTACTGTCTGGGACCCCTCAGCAACTTAGAACTATGTGCATGGGCCAATGTGAACGTGCAAGGCCAGCCAGCCCCCATGGCAGCTCAAGGACAAAGCCTGGGACTTATCCAGGCCTGCCCCCAAAATGATAACTGTAACCCCCAACCAGTAAATTTAAAGGTTACATACCCTCACCCAACCATATGACGCCAAGGCTTGTGCCACCCTGCTTGCAGCTTTTCCCTTTGAAAATCCCTCACCCTGAGAGCTCAGGGCCGTCCTCCTCCTCCCGCTGTGTCAGATGTTGGACACGGACCGAGCCCGGGCTTGCTTGTTATCAAGAAACCCCTGTGTGTTTTGCATCGGATCTTGGCTCTGTGGTGGTCTTGCTTGGGGGGTCTCGAGACGCGTCCACCACACAAGCATAGTCCTTCATTGCACGAGAGTCGGCTGTGGTTGGCGCAGTGTGGCTGTGGATGCAAGTATTCAGCTCCCTTTGTGAACAGACAGGTGGGAGACATTCTTCTGTGCTGCCTCTTGGGATTACAGTGGTAGGCCCAAAAAAAGGCTTCTCTCAAGTGGTGTGTGTGTGTGTGTGGTGTGTGTGTGTGTGGTGTGTGTGTGTGTGTGTGTGTGTGTGTGTGTGTGTGTGTGTGCACATCCGTACATACGTGTGGAGACAGTGGCTGATGGCAAGTGTTTTCTTCAGTCACTCTCAACCTTATTTCCTTTTGTTCTTGTTTTTCCCAGACAGGGTTTCTCTGTGTAGCCCTGGATCTCACTCTGTAGACCAGATCTGCCTGCCTCTGCCTCCTGGGTGCTGGGATTAAAGATGTGTACCACCACTGGCCAGCTTTCCCCGTTATTTTTTGATAGAGGGTCTCTCACTGAATAGTTTACCTATCCGGCTAGATTATCTGGCCAGCAAACCTGGAAGGATCCGTTCATCTCTGCCTCCCTAGTGCTGGGATCACAGGCCGGTTTCTCCAAGCTTTTGGAGACAGGTTCTGAGGATCAAACTCAGGCTTTAGAGCTCTCCACAGATGGAGCCATCTCCCTAGGCCTTCATGCCTCCTCCCTTAGCCGAGTGGACTCATCTAGTAACGGGAAGAAGGAAGGATACATCGGTGAAGCAGGCCACAGTGGAGATAACAGCAATAGACCACAAAAGAAAGCTGGAGAGAAAGTTCCAGGAAGCTGTGGAGCGCTAAGATTCCAACATCCTGAGCACAACACGCATGACATTGGTTGCTGCGTGTGTAAGGGTCCCGGAACCTGAGACCTGAACAAGAACTGTAACCACAGAAGGTGCCATTTGCTGCCACCCCCTCCAGAAGCGGAGGATTCCCAAAACTGCTGAGTGCTGGCCACTGACGGTAAAGTTAGCCTCCAACCTGAGAGCTGTAAGTCTCTGGCTTCGGAAGGACTTAGAACGTTAAACCTCTGGGGCTTGGGCACTCAGCTCAGTTTGCCAGCCCTAGAAGATCTTGTCCTCAACATTCTGTGATCCCTATAGGGTTCCTGCCATCTGATCGGGGGCAGAGACAGGAACTGACTTAAGCCTGCGTGTCCATGACCTTCACTCTTAAGGGTCCCAGCTTCCTCAGTTCAGTGACCTGGAGTTTGGCTCCAGGCAGGGAAGCAGGAGCTGCGGGCAGACCCTGGACAGGGAGAGCAGCTGGTGGTTGGTTTCCCACACCTCCTGCAACCCCATCCTTGAGAGACGCTGCAGCAGGAGCAAAATCTAGATGTCTGGGGATAAGAGGAAACCAGCAGCCGAGGAGAAAGGTATCAGATAAACTCTCCCTCTTCCCGCATGGGTCTTGGCAAGACAGGAAGTGATGCCGTGAACAGAAACTTGAGTCGGGCATTATCTGATGGCTGAGGCGTCGCATACATTGGGAAGAAGGCCGTGTGTTTGTTCAGGCCCCAGAGCTGCAAGCTAAATCGGGGGTTGCAGGCCCAGCAGCACTGCCAAACCTCCTACAGAAGCCCTTCTTCCTCAATGTCAGAAAAAGGTCACCCACCCAAGTCACGGCTCCCGTTTGGACCATCGGTGTCCACCAGAGGGCAGTGTAACCCCAGGCATGGGGAAGAGGATGCCCGCTCTGTCACAGCAAGGCTGAGGCCTCACTGGGGCGGGGTGGGTGGCGTGTTGAGTGGCAGGCTGAGTTACAAAAACGGGGTGAGGAAGTACGACTGACCCCAGATCCAGCCTCCAGATCTGCAGCGGAGGACAGTTCATCTCCAGATTTACTATCAACTCAGGTCAGGAAGGACCCATAACCACCTATCTTCCGAGTTCCACGAACAGTTCAGTGCAGAGACTCCAAGGTGAATACAACACAGCCTTGGGAGCTGGCGAGAAGGTTCCGGTAGAAAGTGCTTACTCCCTAAGCGCAAGGACCAGAGTTCAATTCCCAGTACCCGCGTAAAAGAGCCAGACCTTCATTTTCTCACTTCATAAAGAGACAGACAGGGATGGGGGACAGTGGGGTAGCCAGTCCAGTTAGTACCGGGACTTCAGAACCCGACTTCCTTGCTCTGGTTTTCGTAGTGAGCCTGGGTCCTCACTTCAGCCCCGTATCCCAGGCCATCACGTGTGTGCTCTCTGCAATGATGGGGTCCACTTGTCATCTCGGTACTAGCCAGGCCATCGTCACTCCCATTACTGACGGACAGTTTGCCCAGGAGAGATCTGAGATGATGAGTGTTCCCAGAAGTGCCAAAAAAGAAAGAAAGGAAAGAGAGAAAGAAGGGGAAGTACCTTTATTCTAGGATGCCAGGGTAATGTAAATCAGTACCCACGATGCTAAAGCGTATTTAACATGTGCAATACGTAAAGCAGATCAGGGTATCCACCCAGACAAGCAGATCAGGGTATCCACTCGGGCAAGTGGAGTGCCTGTGCTCTTTGGGGTGGGGAGGGAGAAGCCTGAAGTGGGTGGGGCTGCCATGGGATTCCTTGAGTACTAAGATTAACCCAATAGGGACTAGAAAGCCTCTGCTGTGCCGTTAGAGGGGTGATCGGTGGGTAATGAAACCTGTGCACATCCTCAGGCTTCCTTTGCCCTCTGAATCCGCTCCCCACAGCCCCCATGCT